CTACTACTACTACTACTATTACTACTCCTACTACTACTACTACTACTACTACTACTACTACTACTACTACGACGACTGACTACTACTACTACTACTACTACTACTACTACTACTACTACTACTACTACTACTACTACTACTACTACTACTACTACTACTCCTAATACTACTACTACTACTACTACTACTACTACTACTACTACTACTACTACTACTACTACTACTACTACTACTACTACTACTACTACTACTACTACTACTACTACTACTACTACTACTACTACTACTACTACTACTACTACCACTACTACTACTACTACTACGACTACTACTACTACTACTACGACTACTACGACTACTGCTGCTACTACTACTACTACTACTACTTGTACTACTACGACTACTATGACTACGAATCGTAATAATACGAGTACTCATAACACTAATACGAATGAGACGAATAACACTAGTCATATGCATAATCAACAGCAGCGCAAGCAACAAACACAGAAGAGTGATGAGAAGAAGAAGAAGAGCCATGGCAGCGTGGCTCACGAGCAAGCTTCACGCGCGGCCTGGGCCGAGTAGTAGTAATTGTAGTAGTAGTAGTAGTAGGAGTAGTAGTAGTAATAGTCGTAGTAGTGGGAGTAGTAGTTGTAGTAGTGTAGTAGCAATAGTAGTAGTAGTAGTAGTAGTAGTAGTAGTAGTAGTAGTAGTAGTAGTAGTAGTAGTAGTAGGAGTAGGAGTAGTAGGAGTAGTAGTAGTAGTAGTAGTAGTCGTCGTCGTAGTAGTAGTAGTTGTAGTTGTAGTGGTAGTGGTAGTTGTAGTAGTGTAGTGGTAGTGGTAGGAGTAGTCGTAGTAGTAGTAGTAGTAGTAGTAGTATTAGTAGTAGTAGCAGTAGTAGTAGTAGTAGTAGTAGTAGTCGTAGTAGCAGTAGTAGTAGTAGTAGTAGTAGGAGTAAGAGTAGTCGTAGTAGTAGAAAGAATAGTGGGAGTAGTAGGAGTAGTAGGAGTAGTCGTAGCCGTAAAAGTGGTAGTAGTGGCAGTAGTCGTAGTAGTAGTAGTCGTAGTAGTAGTAGTAGTAGTAGTAGTAGTAGTAGTAGTAGTAGTAGTAGTAGTAGTAGTAGTAGTAGTAGTAGCTGTTAGTAGGGGTTAGCGTAGTTGTTAGTAGTAGTACTACTGATACTCTATTGGTAGTGTTAGTCGTCGTAGTATTAGTGTAGTGTAGTGTAGTGGTCGTGGAGTGGAAGTTGTAGTAGTAGCGTAGTAGTAGTAGTAGTAATCGTAGTAGTCGTTCGTTTCGTAGCAGTGGTAGTAGTAGTAGTAGTTAGTAGTAGTAGTAGTAGTAGTAGTTTAGTAATCGTAGTAGTAGTAGTAGTAGTAGTTGTAGTAGTAATCGTAGTAATCGTAGTAGTTTTACTAGTAGTATTAGTAGTGGTAGTAGTAGTAGTCGTAGTAGTAGTAGTAGTGTGGTAGTGGTTGGTGGTAGTGGTAGGATTACTAGTTCTAATCGTAGTAAGTACGTAGTAGTAGTAGTAGTAGTAGTAGCAGTAGTAGTAGTAGTAGTAGTACTGGTAGTAGTAGTAGTAGTAGTCGTCGTCGTAGTAGTAGTAGTAGCAGCAGTAGTAGTAGAAGTAGTAGTGGTAGTAGTGGTAGTCGTAGTAGAAGTAAGAGTAGTAAAAGTAGTAGTGGTAGTAGTGGTAGTCGTAGTAGAAGTAAGAGTAGTAGTATCAGTAGTAGTAGTAGTAGTAGTAGTCGTAGTAGTAGTGGTGGTAGTAGTGGTAGCTGTAGTAGTGGTAGTAGGAGTAGTAGTAGTAGCAGTAGTAGATGACAAGAGTAGTCGTATCAGTAGTCGTATCAGTAGTAGTAGTAGTAGAGTAGTCGTAGTAGTAGGAAACAGTAGTTAGTAGTAGTAGTAGTAGTAGGAGTAGTAGTAGTAGTAGTAGTAGTAGTAGTAGCAGTAGTAGTAGTGGTAGAGTAGTAGGTAGTAGTAGTAGTTAGTAGTAATAGTAGTAGTAATATAGTAGTAGTAGTTAGTAGTAGTAGTAGTGTAGTAGTAGTCGTAGTAGTAGTAGTAGGAGTAAGTAGTAGTAGTAGTAGTAGTAGTAGTAGTCGTCTAGTAGTAGTAGTAGTAGTAGTAGTAGTAGTAGTAGTAGTAGTAGTAGTAGTAGTAGTAGTAGTAGTAGTAGTAAGTAGTAGTAGTAGTAGTAGTAGTAGTAGTAGTAGTAGTAGTAGTAGTAGTAGTAGTAGTAGTAGTAGTAGTAGTTAGTAGTAGTAGTAGTAGTAGTAGTAGTAGTAGTAGTAGTAGTAGTAGTAGTAGTAGTAGTAGTAGTAGTAGTAGTAGTAGTAGTGGTAGGCGGAATAGTAGTAGGAGTAGTAGTAGGAGGAGGAGGAGGCGGAGGAGGAGGAGGAGGAGGAGGAGAAACATGACGGCGAGGAGGGTCTCGCTCCTCGGCATTCTGGGCCTCCTTTTCGCTATCTTGCGCATCCTTGACCTCCTCATTCGTCCCTCTCCTCATCCTTCCCATCGACTTCCTCCACATCCCTCCCCGCCATCGTCCCCATCGTCGCCTGCTCCTCCTGGCGACGCGTGCCATGCAGGGCTAATGGTCGAAAAGCTGAGTTCCCCAGTTGTCCAAGTCAGTTGTCCCAGTCCTTGCCAAGCTTATTCAAGACGCTTCGCGTTCACTGCCCTCTCATTCGAGTTCCTGCCAGAAGAGCCGACGACGGCTCCAAGTAGGGATGCTAATGTACGAAAGAGCGCTTTTTTGTCACTGATGGCAGAAGGGGCGGGGGTGAACTGTAAAAGGAATTGGTCCTGGCGACATGGGACAAGTCCCGACTCAGTGGGGCCAACCCCGGCGAGGTAGGGCTCACGTTGAGTCCAATCCTTGCTGGTCTGAGAAATAATATTCATACATACATACATATACACACTTCTATATATATATATATATGCACATCAAATCGGTTCCGAACTTCACTGGATATCCTAAAGGATGCCCCTCATGTTTTGCATCTTGGCGCGCCCGCCTCCTCCCCCCCTGCCGCCTGTGGCAAGCTCTGGACGCGCGCGCGCGGGTGCTCTGGGGGTGGCCGGCGTCTCTGAAGTGCAGAGCTCGACCTGGAGGGTGCCGGGACCTCTCCGACCCAGAAGGTCTGCCAGAGGCAACGACAGGGACCAATAGCCTTAGGTCGGGCACGTCCTCCCTCTCCTCTACAGGAGGAAAATTCAAACATTATCAAAACATGGTCTTGGGACGACTTTTGTTTACTATGTTGCCCATTTGGAGGGTATTTTTTTGAATCTGTTCTTTCTTTCACCCAAAAACCCCCTGTAGGGGGACATGCCCGACCTAATAACAGCCCAGGGGGGAGCAATGCACGCTTCAGGGGCCTCCTCCTCCTCCTCCTCCTCCTCCTCCTCCTCCTACTGCTCCTCCTCCTCCTCCTCCTCCTCCTCCTCCTTCCTCGTCCTTCCCGCCCTCCTGCCCACCACCAGCTCTTGTCGTAGCCGCTGCGGCTCGAGACGTCTGACCTCAAGCAGCTCCTCCTTCGTTGGGCGTCCAGGCGTCGAGGGCGCCCCAGGCGTTGACAACCATGCACCGTGTACTGGCGGGCGGCCCGAACATCTTGAAAGAGAACGCGTCCGAGGAGAGGGGCGAGAACGCAAGGCTCCAAGCCTTTATCCAGGGGAACCAACAATGACGTAAACATAAGAACTCGGAGGTCCGCGCGGATTTCTCGGATCGGCGCTGGGGCCCCCTCGGCGGCGCCTCTGGCGCCGCCCCTGGCGCGGTCCGCGCGCCAGGGAGGGGGTGTCCAGCGCGGATCCAAGAAATACGCGCGGAGCGCCAAAAGTTTATGTTTATGCCGTTCTTCCTTCTCCTATCATCGGCGCGATAGCCATCGGCGACCTGGTGAAGTCAACGCTTGGTCCCAAGGGTATGGACAAGATTCTTGTGCCCATGCCCGGCGGGGGCAGCCAGCAGAGTGCAACCGTGACGAACGACGGTGCGACCATCTTGAAGTCCCTGTGGATCGATAACCCTGCTGCGAAGATCTTGGTGGATATATCCAAGACGCAGGACGCAGAGTGCGGGGACGGTACTACCTCCGTTGTCGTCCTGGCGGCAGAAATGTTGCGGAATGCGCAGATGCTCGTGGAGCAGAGGATGCACCCCCAGGTCATCATCAAGGGCTATCGCCTGGCGCTCGCCGCTGCGCGGGAGACGCTCGAGGGCATGGCGACAGACAACGGGACCGACCCTGTCGCGTTCCGGGAAGATCTGCTGAAGATTGCGCGGACAACTCTGAGCTCGAAGTTGCTGAAGCACGAGAAGGAACATTTTGCAACGCTGGCTGTGGACGCAGTGCTGCGGTTGAAGGGCGGACCAAATTTAGATTATATCCAGGTCATCAAGAAGCCAGGTGCTTCTCTCAAGGATTCCTTCCTGGAGGAGGGGTTCATCCTCGAGAAGAAGATCGGGGTAGGGCATTCAAAGGTGCTCACCGATTGCAAGATCATGGTGGCAAATTGCCAGATGGACACAGACAAGATAAAGATCTACGGCGCACGCGTCAAGACGGATTCATTCGAAGCCGTCGCCGAAATAGAGAAGGCTGAGAAGGACAAGATGAGAACCAAGGTTGAGAAGATCTGCAAGCACGGCTGCAACGTGTTTATCAACCGCCAGCTCATCTACAACTACCCCGACCAGATCTTCAAGGAGAGCGGTGTGATGGCCATCGAGCACTCGGACTTCGAGGGAAGCGAACGCCTGGCAGCGGTGCTCGGTGCCGACATCGTGTCCACGTTCGACAACCCAGAGCTCGTCAAGCTCGGCTACTGCAAGCAGATATCCGAGATGATGATCGGCGAAGATAAGGTCATCAAGTTCTCCGGCTGCTCGCAGGGCGAGGCCTTGTGGAGGACGATCAATGGAGAGAAAGCATGTTGCCAAATCATTTCCAGATGTCTGAAACATGTTTAAGGCATGCCTTAAACATGCCAAAACATGTTTCAGGCATGTTTAGGTCATTTCTCAAGCCCTTTGAACACATTTTTAATTCGATGATAGGATTGTTAGGGTGCCCGTTGACATGACATCCACAAGCGAGGCCTGCACCATCATCCTGCGCGGCGCCTCCACGCACATCCTGGACGAGGCCGAGCGCTCGCTGCACGACGCGGTGGCCGTGCTGTTCCAGACGGTGCAGGAGACGCCCGACGGCGCGACTCGCGGACGAAGAGCGCAACGATCGAAGAGGAAAAACGCCATAAACATAAACTTTTGGCGCTCCGCGTGGATCCAAGAAATCCGCGCGGAGCGCCAAAAGTTTATATTTAAGCCGCTCTTTCCTCTCCTGAACGAGGCGCGCTCGCTTCTAATGCACGTGCCTCGTTGTGCTCGTTTGTCTATGAGCCGCGTGACGTGATTGGAATGGCCCTTCTGAGGGACAGCGGGATTGCCGTTCTGCCATTCCTGGCTGCTTTCGAAGAAAAAATTGAACAGTTACGAGCGAACAAGACACACAAAGGGTGTGTGTGTGTGCAGGAGACGCGCGTCGTCCACGGAGGAGGCTGCTGCGAGATGGCCATGTCCAAGTCGATCATGGAGAAGCTGAGCCACGTGGAGGGCAAGGAGCAGATGGCCATGGAGGCCTTCGGGAAGGCCCTGCAGCAGATACCGACGATCCTGGCGGACAACAGCGGCTACGACTCCGCCGAGTTGGTCGGCCAGCTGCGGGCCGCGCACGCCCGGGGCCAGAGCTCCCACGGCATCGAGTTCACGACCGGCACGGTGGCGGACATGGCGCCGCTGGGCATCATGGAGTCGTACAGGAGCAAGCTGTCCCAGCTCTGCTCGGCGGCAGAGGCCGTCGCGGGGCCAGGACGAGGGCGAGGACAGGGTCCCGCTCCAGAGCGTTCCAGAACGCTCCAGGATGGCCGCGGCTCCCGATACATCCTCCAGAGCCGCCGCATCCCCGAGATTCCCGATGTATGCTCACCCGATTTTGTCCTCGCCCTGGCCCCGTCTTATACGAGGCCGCCGAGATGATCATCCGGGTCGACAACGTCATCAAGAACGCGCCCCGGCAGCGCGACGGCGGCATGTGAGTCACCGAGCGCGTGCCACTTCTCGCAGAGTGCCTACTCGCGAACGCCCGAAAAACACATGTCTGTTTCGATGTAATTTATCGTAGATCCCCCGCGACGGATCCAGGCCAGTTGCGAGTACTACTGTGCGAGCAGTGGAACGCGCTCGTCTAGTGAGGGAGCGACTGGGCCCCCCACTCGCCCCGAGCAGCGCGCGCGTGGGCTCTGCGCGGTGGCCGCCGCTCCGCCGCTCTCTGCGTGCCTCCCCCGGCCGCGTGGCCCGCGGCTGCCTGGCGTCTCGCCTTTCGGCACCTCAGCCCCGTCTCCACCAGTGCGCCCTCGAGGGCGCGAAGTACTTCGCGCTTCGGCTCCTCCTCCTCCTCCTCCTCCTCCTCCTCCTACTACTACTACTACTACTACTACTATACTACTTACTACTACTACTACTACTACTACTACTACTACTATACTACTATACACTACTACTCTACTACTACTACTACTACTACTTACTACTACTACTATACTATACTACTACTACTACTACTACTACTACTACTACTACTACTACACTACCACTACTACTACTACTCCTTCTTTCCCTCCTCTTCCTCCTCCTCCTCCTCCTCCTCCTCCTCCTCCTCCTCTTCATTCTCCTCCTCACCCTCCTCCTCTTCACCCCTGGGGGGCGGCGCGAGAGCGCGAAGCTGCTCGCGCAGCGCGAGGCGCGAAGGTCGGCGCCCCTGTCGTCTCCGGGCCTCCCGCTGGGGCTCCGCGTAGATCGGGTCGGATGCTCCCGCCGCCTCGCCGATGCATCGGCGATGCGGCTCGAGGTGTGGCCCGATGCTCTGCACGCCGGCGTCACCGAGGTTGCCGACGCATCGCCGACGCATCGGCGCTGCCGTGCGATCTTCCGACCCCATCCACTCGGACACCATTTGGGAGGCCTCTATCATCCTCCTCCTCCTCCTCCTCCTCCTCCTCCTTGTCCTCCTCCTCCTCCTCCTCCTTGTCCTCCTCCTCCTCCTCGCCGCCTGTTCTCCATCCTCGTGGCGTCCCTGCGCGCAGCTGTGAATCTGCCGCCGCGAGACGCTGTGGCCGCACGCGGGCCCCACCCCTCCCAGCTGCCTGCGGTGCTGCACAAGCCAAAGCAAGTAACAAGGAGACGTCCTCGCCGAAGGGCGGCTCTCGCTATAGCGCCGGCCTCGTTCCCAACTCGCGTTGCTCGCCTCGGCGCTGGCTGCGCTCCCAGCTCGCGATGCTCTCTCCAGCTGGCGACGCGTCAGACATGGAAGCCAAAGTCACAGCGGGTCGCAGGCGCGCGTGGTCAGTTGTCAATAAGGCTAGGGCGCATACCTGTGCACGCACGTGTGAGCCAGGTCACGATAGCAATGTCCCAGATGTCCCCGAGGATAGGGATGAGGAAAGAGTTGGGCTCGGAGTACGGACGGAATCTTGCCAACTTGGACAGACAATGATAGACATAGGTTGTTGATTTGCCATGCGGTCCTCAAGACAAGCATCACTGCGCACGCCGCTATTGTTCGCCGCGCGGGAAGGAATATTTGACAAAAGCCTGGCCCTGGCGCAAGGGAGGGGTGTAGCTGGGCCAATGTCGATATACGCTTCGAAACCCATTTGAGTGCAATTCAAATACAAGTTCCGAAAGAACCACTTGTGTAGCGCCCTCCGTGAGATCCTAATCATCCGTGCATTGTTGCCTTGTGGGCGCGCGTTTGGCGTGTCGTCTGGTGATCGGTACGTCGTTGACTTGTCGATTTGCGGAGCCGCTCACCACTCTCGAGCAGTTCGAATAATCTAAGCCGCGTTACCCGCGTTAGTTACATTCCAACGCAATGTTATCGAGCAGTCGCATAATATGCGCAAGCAGAGATTATGTCATTTTTGCAGAGTCACTGGGTTAGAACCCCTCCCTGCGCAGTGACAAAAGAGCATCGTCACCGACGTCGCCATTATTACCTCACCGAATTTCGCCAAGTCAGTGGCATCACCATTGCCATCAGCAGGCCTCGTACTAGCAACTCGCATTGCTGTTATAGTACCTTGCAAGTGCAGTGGGCGCTCTTAGAAATTCACAGACGCAGGCGTTGTCAATGCGAGTGTTGTGGGGCGTAGCTCTCGAATGCCCGTTTGTGCCCTGCAGGTCCTGGACGATCTTGGGTAAGGTTTTTTGCTGTCAAGGGAAAGCCCTTGAGTTTCCTTCCAGGAGTTCGTCTGCGAAAAGCTTTCGCGAATACCCTTGTTACTTGTCTGGGGGTGAGAACATAAAGAACAAGCATGTACAGTATATTTCACACCTGTACACACAAACACACACACACAAAAAAAAAAAAAAACATGGCCTTCGGCCCATCTCGTCACCGTGCCAGGGTTGTGGGTCAGAGGTCTCAGGGATGCTTCTTGGTCTCTGTGGATCGCTCTCGGGGGCCTCTTGGGGGCAGCTTTGGGGCCTCTTGGGAGCCTCTTGGGGCCCTCTTGGGGGCCTCTTGGCGCCTCTTGGGGGCCTCATAGGGCCTCTTGGGGGCCTCTTGGAACTTCCTGGGGGCCCCTCGGGGCCAAAGGCTTGACATATCCACTCGGGTCCCCCATCTGGACCCCCTTTCGGAGCCGTCTTTGGGCATCTTGGGCCGTCTTGGGCGCCTGTTGGGCCGCCTTAAGGCCCTCTTTGGCTAATTCGGGGCCCTGTTGGGGGTCTCTTGGGCCGTCGTGGGGCGATCCTGGGGGCCTCTAGGTCCGGGCCCGCGAGCGTCGTGAAGCAAGGGCATCGTGCATTACGCACACACATGCGAATCCATGCTATAGGTTGTTGGCTCGCTACCGCGCTGTCGCAACCTATCTGCAAGTGCTTCGCCCACTGCCGCTGGCCCCTTCTCTTTTAGACTGGAGCATGCCTGAGCTAAGTTGGGACGCAAGGGCACCACCGTGAAGCAATGCACTTCGCGCGAGTGCCAATATCGTACGTTACGGTGTGCACAGCAACAAAAAAACGTTCGAATCCTAGAGGATAGAGCGACAATCGTCTTCTTGTGCGATGCGAATTTGCTGGGTTGGGATAGAGCGACAATCGTCTTCTTGTGCGGTCGGAAATCCGAACAGGCGTGAATTTCAAAACCCTACAGCAGCCTAAGGGAAATCTATGGCTGTGGTTTCCTCAGGCTCTTGAGCACGCGAATCTTGCATGCTTTACGGGGGATCGTGGCCTCGGTGACGCAAATTTGTTTGACTTACGACGGCTTGTGGCTTGGAGGACGCGACTATTCAGTACAGTAAATTACGAATAAGGGTGGGTTCGAGGTTACGGATCCGCGACGCGAGTCTTGCATGAAGTATTTGGGATCGTGGCCTCGGTGACGCAAATGTGCTTGACTTACGATGGCTTATGGATTCGAGGACGCGGTTATTCAGTAGATTACGAATAAGCGTGGCTTCGAGGGCGCACAGGTTTAATAATTTACGGGTATTGGGCGCGATTCTTGTATACTTTTCGGGGGATCATGGCCTCGGTGGGGCAAATATCGTGTAATGCACGAGGGTTGATGGTCTCGGGACGCGCCTAGTGCTTACCTTACGGTGGAGTCTGGTGCCAATGAGGGGAACGAGCAATGATATAAACATAGAAACTCGGATGTCCGCGCGGATTTCTCGGGTCGGCGCTGGGGCCCCCTGGCGGCGCCTCCGGCGCCGCCCCTGGCGCGCTTCGCGCACCAGAGAGGGGGTCCAGCACCGATCCGAGAAATCCGCGCGGACTTCCGAGTTTTCATGTTTGTGTCATCGTTCGTTCCCCTAAATATGGTGTCAAGGACGCAGCCATGTCGCAACTTCCACGGGATGGTGGCGTCGTGGACGCGACCATTGCGCATTTGGCGGCGGGGATCGTGGCCTCGGGGGTGCGAGCACTGCGTGATCTCCGGGAGGAGGCGCGGCCTCGGGGACGCGAGCATTTCAATTTACGAGGGATCGTCTCCCAGGGTACCCGCTGTTCTGGGATGCGTTGAAGCCTCTCCTCCGATCCTCCTCCTCCACTTGGAAGCCCCAGCATCAGAGGCCCCTGAGGAGCTTAATGAGCAACTTGCACTGGCCTCAGGCTAGGGTGCATCGGCATGGTTACCATAGCTGTGACAAGTGTAGGGTCTGTTTGGAGGAGAAGGGAAGCTTGCTTCACAGGCAATTCGGTGCTCGGCCCATACTGCGCTCAGGAGAGACATGGTCTTGCCTCAGCTGGCCACCAGGGCTGCGCGCGTGTATGAAGGAGGGGAGGAGCTCGCGGAGAGATTTGCCCGAGCGATTTTTCCTGCCCCGATGGCTTTGGTTTCTGTCCAGGAGCCTGAACAGACGGTGCTCTGGATAAACAAGCCTGAGTCTGGTCGGCTCAGTGGTTTAATTTTTTCGGATGGTTCTGCGCTCCGGCCAGGGGTCCCTGGGCTCTCGAGGGCGGGGTGGGCCCTAGTCCAGGCCGACCCCCTGGGCAATGTCATTGCTGCCTGTTATGGCCCAGTTCCGTTTTCCCATGGGCCGAGACAGTCGGCCAACGATGGAGTAGATTATGCAATATATATATATATATATATATATGTGTGTGTGTGTTGATCCAATGCGCGATGGCGCCAATCGAGTTAGATTGTGACTGCCAGGGAACTCTCAACGTCCTCTGGGGTGGCCATGGGGCTGGGTCCTCTGCTGGTGGGCCCAGGGCCCATCTTTGGGTCCCCTTATGGGCGAGCGACAGAGACGACGACCAACGAATGATGGAGATGACGACTTGAACGGACAAGCCCCTCACACACGCCGACAGGGTCGGCGGATTTCTCACAACAGTCAGTTCTGGCCGCCAAACAGTTAGACACAGAGGTTCTACAATGGATTGGGACGGTTGCACTATGGCTGTCCCGTTGTGGCTTCCACCCCCCCAACCTCCTTAGCGGCTGTTGGTTTGTCTTATGGCATGCAGCATCTGCAGATTTGCAGTGAGGTGTGTGTGTATATATATATATATAGCCATGTGTAGCTAAGTATCTGCTCAGCATGACTGACAGTTGCCGCCCGCGATAACCGGAGGAGTCTGCTTCTGGATCCCTCCGCATTGACGATGGAGTAATTTAGTTCAGTGTGGTCGGCGCCAACACAGGTCGCGGGAACATCGGAAGGACATGGGAGGATTTGCACATTCGCGCGCACGAATTTTGCTCATGCGAGAGTGCCAGATTCCAAACAATAGCCGTAACATGTCTTCGCCTATCATAAAGATTCGCAGCCGCCGCTTAGACGGACAGGACCCACTCGCAGACGCGAAGGTTGCTGCTGGGCGCGGTGGGGGAGCTGTCGGACGAGGCACATCTGCGTTTCCGTGCTTGCATAGCTTTCTCCATTCTCCTTCTCTCCTCGTCTTTTGGACCGTGCAAGTGGAGGCGGGGTAACTCCCAGCAGAGCTTCACAGAATTTCCGAGCCTTCTCGGCCTCCGCTGAATTGCCAAGGTGCAAGTTGCCAGCAGAGCCAGCCCGACCCCCCGGGGGGCCCAGGGGTTCACATTCTGGACCTCCTGCGCCGCACGAGGGCTCGGTGGCTCCCAGCGCGGTGGCCCCAGGGAGGCGAGATGCGAGCCGACTTTGGGTCAACACCGTTCCTGCCCGAAGCGTTCTATCGAAATTCTTCTCTCCAACAATACGGTGGGGGGCGTTGGTCAAGGAACGCGCGTGGGAGGTTCAGACCCTGGAGGGCTCCTTCTCTGATGAGGGCGGCGCCAGCATCCGCTGCCAATCCGCGATTGGGGTTGCACCGGCTTCCGGGCCCCTGGGCCCTTGCTCTCCACGCTTCCTTATCCAATGTCCCCACCGTAGCCACTGCTTTTGCGGAGGGGGCGGGCCAGGATTTCAGCGGGGAGCTGGGGAGGCGTCGCTCGGACTGCACCGCGGCAGCTCGAGCAGCCGAGACCGAAAAGAGATTCGTGTTTTGTACATAAGGCGGGCACCAAAAAGGTTATCCTTCAGTGGTGCGCCGCCACCCGCCCTCCCCCTTTGCGCCCCTTTTCCTGGTTCACTGTGTTTTCTTTCGGGCAACTTCTCATGTCTATTCGACATCCCCTCTTAATCGTCCACTGGGTCCGGTTTTTTAAGGCGCCTTTTTTGGAAGTGGGGGGGTCCGGTTCATTAGGGCGTTTCCCTTAAACCGAAGACGAGAGGGGTCGGGAATATTAATGCCCCCCGGCGACAGGGGGGTCCAGAAAATTAAGTTGCCGTTGAAGGGGCGGTCCAGTTTTTTTAGGGGGGGGCCGATTGTTAAGGGATTTCGAGTGATGTGGCTCCACTTGCTTCCTCTCGGGCCACGACTCCTGTCGAATGGCGGATCTCTCATGCGTCTGGTCCTCCTCGCTAGGGTCCCAGCTAAGACCTCGCGGGGCACGTTGCCCAACTATGCGCGGGCTCAGAGTTTCCCGCCAAGCTTGCATGCCGCATCACAACCAATGATGATTCAGTGACCATGCTGCTTGCCGGCTCAGAACGGGCCATATCTCACAAGACCCATTGGTGTCGACCCATAGCAGAACGGTCTGTATGCCGCATCACAGCCAAGGATGTCAAGTGACCATGCTGACCGCCTTCCCAATGAAGACCCTCATTCATGGCACGGCATGGTTAAGCAATGCCATCATGTTCCACCACTCACGCAGGACTTCGCCATGCCGCAACAAGCTGCAACTGATACCCGATGGGATGCATTCGCGTCTGTTCGCAGACCAAAGATGGCCCACTTTCGCGCACGCCAACCGCTCACCCAGTGCCGGCACAGAGTGATCCACCTCTCGCGCATGCCGGCCTCTCATGGAAGCAGGCTGCCTGAAGTGCCACCATGGGTCGGTCCGTTCGCATATATTTCCCATGGACACAGAGATCGCAATTTTTTAGTGAGGCGCCGTAGTCCAGGCCCCAGCGTTCACGTTCGCATGTTGAACGTGGCCCGTGGACGCAAAATATTGCCCACCTCTCTTTGCCTTCTACGTGCGCGGGGCGCTCGCCGGGTCAGGTATCAGCCATGCGATGGGCAGCCCTAATTCTAAGACCCTCGTGGGCACGTTCTCACATATTCGTCGTGAACTGGGACACGTACATTGCCAGTGGCAGGCTGTTTCTCAATCCCAGGACTCTTTGCGGGTTGGGGACGACGTCGGGGCGGTGTGGTGTATACTTGTTGTTCCGTTTCCCTGGAACCAGCGAAGGATGTATACACCAGGGCCCCGTATACACCAGGATCCGCTTCCTTGTGTGAATTTCGGTGCAGGGCCGGAACAGGCGTCGGTGTGTAGAGTTCGGTTCCCTAGCCCGGTGGACAGCCCAGACGGGATCTCCAGGCTCCGGGCCGAAATTCGCGGATTCTGCTTGGCTGGCCCCGCGACCACGTCGCACTCCCACATTATACCGCCGGGGAAACCAGAGCGAGCACGATGGTTAGCAGTCCGTAGTCCCATAATGTCCCATCTTCAGAGACTTCCCCGTCCAACAGGGATCCAGAACCAAGGCCGCAAGGGGCACGTTCGCGCGAGGTTCGCGGATCCAGCCTGGCCCACAAGTCGCGCATGTCGGCTTCCAGTTTATATTCGAGGCCCCAGCTGGGTGACCTCAGTGTAGGCACGCGTCTGCGATACCAGAAAGGCACCCGCCTCATTCACTTCTTTTTCCCGTAGGAAGCTTCAGTTAAGGCTCAGCGGGCACGTCCCTGAGTTTTTGGTGGAGTGGGGACATTCGCGTACGAACGCCCACTAACCGCTCGTTTCACCTCCCTCGCCAGCGGCCGCAATGAATGCCCCTATTTGCACGTTTGCAGTTTCTTCGTGGACCCTGAACGGCCAGCAGTCTACGCACTTCTGGCCCACGTCAGTCCTGATGGACATTTGCGCATACAGCCAAATCGAAGCCAGACCTCATTCACTCATCTATCCCACGACCGCGGCCAACACTTGCGTGGCCGCGTTTTGACCGTGGAATCCGACAGGCACACCTCTCAAAGAGTTTGTTCCACCAGTCCTCTCATTATTTTGCACACGGTGTGTAAGCTTCAAGGGTTGTGTGTTTGTCTTGGGTTATTTGTGAGATGCGTGCACGATCTGGATCCCAGTGCCATTCCTGTGATGCGGTTTGTCATCGGCAGATGGCTCTCGCCCCGCATGTGCAACGTCCTAGAAATTGGAGGGCATCGAAAGGGGCAGCCGCGCATGTTTTATTGAACGGCAGCGAGGGCGATCCGTACGTTGCAACGCACCTAACACACGTGAGAAGCACAGTTTCGCGTGACGTCCAACGGCATCGTGTACCAACCCCTTGATCAGAAAGCCATATCGGAAGCAGCGGCAGCGGCAGGAGCAGGATAGCGTGATTGTGCAGCACGTCTTGTACTTATGACATGGCTGTGTGATAGCTCCGTTGACGATGTTGCATATAGCACCGCCGAAAAAGTAGGATTGTTAGCACAACGGATGCGGAACCTGGGAGGCGTAACAGTTGCTTCCCCATCAGATATCATATCCAAGTTATGGTAGTACGTATAATGATGTTGATGCTGATGTTGATGGTGATGGTGGTGATGTGGAAGGTCGATCTCGAATGCCATAGTTGGTGGTCTTCCATGGGCGGTCTGATTCGGTTCTCAGTAGGTCGAGGGGGTGGTCTCCCACTGGAGTGGGGGGGCCATTTAAAGTACTACTCCCCCCCGACTTGCGCGCTGTGACTGACAGTGCGCAGTTTGAGCGTCTTGGCAGCACGCGCTGAGGCTGATACGGAAGTGGTGTGACGTGGTTTCGTGTGATCAGGGGGATGTGTGTTTGACAGTGGAGCCGTTATTGCCCAAAGTCGAAATTCTCAAACGGCCCTCCCCTCCGTCCTAAATCGACGGTCCCATTCCTCCGACGGGGGGGGGAGGGAGATCGAGGGGCACGAACATCTCAGATTCTTTTGGGAGCACTGTGGTGATGGCGGACAGGAGCGCCAGAGCCTGTTCAAGACCATGCTCGCTCAGGGCTCGTCGATGCGGTCGGTTCCTGTGACGGTGTCGTGCCCTGAGCGAGCAGCAGCGCTTCAAGATCAGCCCCCCCCCGCGTGTACCTAGTTGGGTGCATCTCTGGGAGGCCGACGGCCTGGCTCGGTCCATGACACAGCCGCGGTCGGCGCTCTAGCGCGACCCCCTGTCCACCACCCTTCCCCTCCCTGTCCCCCTCACCCCATGCTCCTCCACAATCCCTCCTCCTCCTCCTCCTCCTTCTCCTCCTCCTCCTCCTCCTCCTCCTCCTCCTCCTCCTCCTCCTCCTCCTCCTCTCCCCCTCACCTCATGCTCCTCCCCACTCCCTCCCCGATGCCTTCTCCCCTCGTCCTGTGGGCGTTGCGTAACATGAAGGGGCGATCAAAGTGGGAGGCGAAGAGGAAGGTGCATCTTTCTCGTGCACCTCTGGGGCCCGAGAAGGGGCACGAACGTTGCACGTCTCTTCGCCCCCCATCCATCGCCCCCCCTGCCCCCCACCCCATTCAGGAATGCCCAACGCCTCTCCGTCCTTGTCGCGTGTTGGTGTATCGTTGCGTTTTCCCCCCTCGCGTGCTCACCCCCGGCTTGCCCCGGCACGTCTTCCCCGTTGCCCCCGGAAGACGAGGCGCAGCGTCTCGCCGACGCGGCGGCCGCAGCCGCGATGAGGCCGACCGATCTGCCTGCTATTCTCCTCCTCCTTTCTCCTCCTCCTCCTTTCTCCTCCTCCTCCTCCTCCTCCTCCTCCTCCGCCTCCTCCTCCTCCTCCTCGTGGTCGGAGGAACGAGGGAGGATGGACGGATGGCAGCCGCTGTGGGCGGCGAGTGGGCGCTGCGGGGACAGCAGCCAGAGGACTGCCGTGAGGACAGCTCTCCCCCGCGCGCAATCTCTTTCGGCAGGGGCATTTCGATTCGATTTTCCCCTCCTCGTCCTTCCCCTCCTCCTCCTCCTCCGCCTCCTCATCATCTTCACCACCATCATCATCGTCACCATCACCATCACCATCGTCATCAACAACATCATCATCATTATCATTAGCATCATCACCAGCATCAGCATCATCATCAGCAGCAGCAGCACCATCACCACCATCTTTATCATCATCACCATCACCATCACCATCCACATCAACACCATCGTCATCATCCTCAGCATCAGCATCATCATCAGCATCATCATCAGTATCATCATCATCATCATCATCATCATCATCATCATCATCATCATCATCATCATCATCACCATCACCATCACCATCACCATCACCATCTCCACCATCATCATCATTCTCTTCCTCACCATCTTCCTCACCATCGGGGAACCTCATCCCCGCCCGATCACTAGAGGTGTTCAACGCGGAGAAGAGTTCTGTTCATAGCATTGCATCCGGCCCCGATCTGCCAATGAGCCCGCGAAGGACATGTTCCAGTTGTTGGCGCTTTTCTTTTGAGACCCACCGCGGTGTGACTCCGACTCCTCCAGCTCTCTCCTGGAGCCTGCGGCCAGCTGAGACAGGTAGTGAGATCGCCCAAACTCGTGGGCGACAAACATGTCCGTATCCGTACACATTGTCCATTTCTAACTCTTCGAAAGTTCTTCGACGTTTGGGGGGGCCAAGATCCTTTCATTTCTAAGTGTTCTATCCTGGGCCTCGTCCTGGCCACCTGGGGGCCAGGAGCAATTCGAAACGAGCACACTTAGAACTGAGCACGATGAGAAATGAACGACGTATATCCGTATCCGCCGCCTCGCGGGCCGGGCCCCCGGGTCGCGACCCCACGGAAACACGGGGCGCCTTCTCGCGGCTCCCCCGCGGGGAGCGCCTCCGCGCCACCGCTCACCCGCGAGACCGGGCCCCCGAGTCCGGGCCGCGCGCGCGCGGGCGCGGGCACGGCCGCACGGATGCACGGAGGAGGAGGTCAGACATTGAGCCCCGCCCGGGGTCCATCTTGCCGGCACGCCGTGCGGGGGCACGTCGCAGGCCTCGGGCGGGGCGGGACGGGAAGGGGGAGTCCGCAGACCCCCATCGAGCCATGCACCAATCATGACGGAGGGTGTGTCGCCATGGTCGGCATTTGGAGGCCCTCGCCTGGCTTCGTGACCGTCAGAAAACGATTCAGGATGCGAAACCGGTCCCGGGGATTGGGTCCAGACCTCTGGGGCTCTGGTCAACGTCATGAAACAATCATGGCGTCGGGGGTCTGGGGGGGTCGATCGCAGGCGAGGCGGGAAGGGACGGGACGGGACGTGGGGCGACCGTGGGGGCGGGGAGGGAGGTGACGGGATCGTGCGGAAGTCGGCTGGGGAGGAGGACGGTGGGCCAACTCGTTGGCGCGGGAGGTGGCGAGTGAAGCGGCGGGACAGTGTGGAGGGGGGGAGGGAGCCCACGCCTTCGATGCCTCGATGTTTTCGATACGGGGCGCCTGCAGGTCCGGAACCGCTTCCCCCCAGGGCCGGGGTCTCCCCACGAGTCGCTCTCTCCGATGGCCTTTGGGGGCCCGGCGAGGGCCCCCGAGAGGCCCCGAGCGGCCAAGCAGCAGGCGGTCGTGCTTTTGTTCGTGGCTCTGCTCCCCCCTGCAGTGGCCGCGCTGCTTCCTCTCTCTCCCCTCCTGCACGCGGGCTGATTAGCGATGCCGTGTCCCGGTCTCGCCCAGACGCGGGTGCGGGTCGCCTCTGCCCCGCTGCGACGGACTTGTTTCCAGATCCCGAGGTGGGGTTCTTGTTATGGCTCAGACGCCTCCTGCTCGTTCTGCTCGGCCTCTTCTCCTCCTCTCCCTTGACATGCTGTGATATGTCATGCCATGCCTTGCTGTGGTATGTGATGCTATGGTTTGTTATGTGATGGTGCGGTATAGTAGGGTATGTTATGCTACGCTATGCTATGGTAAGTTGTGTTATAGCTTGGCATGATATGGTATGGCATGGCATGTTATGGTATGTTGTGATGTGCTATGATATGCCATGTTATGTTATAGCATGTCGTGACTATGATCATGGTGGTGGTGATGATGATTGTGGCGATGCTGATGACGATGATGATGGTTATGGTGATGATGGTGGTGGTGATGGTGATGGTGATAACGATGATGGTTATGGTGATGGTGATGGTGATGATGGTGATGGTGATGGTGATGGTGATGGTGATGGTGATGGTGATGGTGATGGTGATGGTGATGATGATGATGATGATGATGATGATGATGATGATGATGATGATGATGATGATGATGATGGTACCAGCGGAGCTGATTCTGAGGATGTCTCGAGCGAGGCGCGGGTTTCAGCCACCCCAAGAGGGAGTCACCAGGGGGTATTGCATTCCTCCGTTCGCGCCAGACTGGTGGGGATGTCAAGCGGTTCGCTTGTTTCGTGGCACAACATCCTCCGCTGTCGGAACAGATTTGGAGGATGTCTCGAGCGAGGCGCCCATTGTCGCACCCAAATGGGGCCACAATTTGAGGACGTCTCGATCGGTTTGCCTGTTTCGGTGGCCAGACTCGTAGGCACGGATCGTCCCCAGGATGCCACAGGAGGCTCCAGCAGGCTCCAAGAGGCCCCAGGAGGCAACAGCAGGTCCCAGGAGGCATCAGGAGGCCACAGGAAGATTCAAGAGGCCACAGGATGCCCCAATAGGCTCCAGGATGTTCTAGGAGGCCACAGGGAGGCCCCAGGAGGCCACAGGAAGCGCCAGGAGGCACCAGGAGGCCCCGGAAGGCACCAGGAGGCCCCAAGAGGCCCCAGGAGCAGGAGGCATCAGAAGGCCACAGGAGTGCCTCCGATCCCATGTGTTGTACGTCTGCTCCTGTAGATTGTGTTGTTTGACTTATGCTTCTACATATTGTCCTTCTCCTGTGTACCTATCCGAAGTGTTTTACGTATGTTCCTACAGATTGGGCCTCCCCTGGGGCACGAGTTCTTGGTGATTTACGCGTGTTCCTATACATTTGACCTTCTCCTGCGGCTCCAATCCGCATTGTTTCATGTACGTCTGTTCCTATAGATTGGGCTTCTCCTGGGGCACGAATCCTCCCCAGGAGGCCCCAGGAGGCTCCAGGAGTCTCCAGGAGGCCCCAGGAGGCCTCAGGAGGTCCCAGGAGGCCTCAGGAGGTCACATGAAGCCCCAAGAGACCCCAGGAGGCCCCAGGAGGCTCCAGGAGGCACCAGGAAGCCCCAGGAGGTTTCAGGAGGCCCCAGAAGGCCCCAGGCTCATGCGCACAGACCTACGCGTACTACGCACCCCCAGTCTGTCAATACTCAAACCTGTTTATATTCGAAGGCTCTTGCGCCTAGGCACTCGCAGCGGAACGGTCCATGCAAACAGATGCACACATGAGGAGCTCCACGCCGTGAATGAATTCGCGACGCGGGCATCTGTTTTGGGAGGGGGGAGGTGGGCGATGGAGGGAAGGCGCAGGAAGAGAGAGATAGAGAGAGAGAGAGAGGGAGCACTGTTCGAGGTCACCGCCTCTTGCTCGTTCCGTGCCGAGATGGTTGCGCCTCCTGGCCTCCACCACTGTCCTGCGGCCTGGCTTTCCTTGCCTGGGGCTGGCCTTCAGAAGCCAGGGTGAAGTCGGGCGTGTCCATCTACGGGAGGAACATTCAATAATAAGAATCATAAGAATAATAATAATAATGATGATGATAATAATAATGATAAACAGTATGGGGACGTTTTTTGTGTGATATGTTCGACTCGTTTGATGTTTTTGTTGGCTAGATTTGATGTGCACCCCAAAATCCGCCTGTGGGAGGACAGGCCCGACCTGAAGCCAGGGTGAGGGCCCACGGGCGCCGGTGGAACCGCTGTCGAAAAACCGGCGGGCGCCGAGACCAGAGGCAGCCGTCGGCCTAGCGATCGGCTGACACTCCTCCGCGCCGACGGCGCCGAGGCGTTGCCGGCGTCGCCGCTGCATCTCAGGAGGGGAAAAAAACACAGACACAATTATCGTCGACTCCCAAGACAAAATAGCAAAATATGGGAAGTGGGGGGGAAGACAGAAACCCAGAAGATATGGGAAAATATGGGGAATCTGTTTATTTGTGTGTATTTACTTGTGTGTTTGTGGGCCCCTTCAGCATCGGCGACGCCTTGCCACATGCATTTGGTCCCCGTCTGGGAGGCCTCCTCTCCGACGAAGGCCTCTGTACGCCACCGCCGTGCCAGGCCAGGGCCCTCCTGGGCCCTGGCCTGGCACGGCGGTGGCGTACGGAAGCCTTCTGCGTACCCGAGTGATCTTCAGATCGGGCCCCGCGGGGCCCCTCCCGCGCCCCTCCCCCGCCGCTGCGCGCGGCGCAGACCTGCTGGTGTGCTCCGTCGATCCCGCCTCTGGTCCGATGCCCGGCCCCTTGTGGCGGCCCGTGGGGCCGGGGGCACCGCGGCCACAGCACGCCCTCGGAGCGCAACCGCGGGGCGGAGGTCCACGGACCAGCGTTAAGTCGGGCACGGCACGCCCCGGCACAAGAGAAAAAGATCCCAAAGTAGGCAACACATCGTCTGGGGACGATGCTTCGACTAGATTTTGGCTCTCTCCGGATCGGTTGGACACTGCTTGCATGCCGCCTCCAAACTCAGACCGTCGGACAACCTGCCCCGACCTGCGACGAGCGGTACCCCCCCGGACGTGCGACGCCTCGAGGCTTGCAAAACGGCGCCCCCTCCATAGGGCCCGGTGTGCTGCAGCCCCGCGCCGCGTGCTCGTCCTGGCCCCCGGGGGGCCCAGCGAGGGGGCCCCCCCGGGGAGGCCGAGCGGCCAGCCGCGGGCTTCGCGCCGCTCCCTGCGAGCGACGCGAGCGCGTCACGCTCGGCTCTCGAGAGCTGCTGTGGCTCCCCCCTCGAGAGGAGGAGAAAGGGCGGACAGTCGGGCGGCGATGGCCCCAGAGGTGTCCGGCGCATTGGAAGAAGCAGGACGGAGGTTTTGTTTTCACCGTTTTCGGCCTCTTGGGGCCCTCACCGGGCCCGGCCGGGACCGTGAAAGACCGATTCAGGATGAACAACCGGTCCTGGGGAATGGGTCGACCCCTCTGGGGATCCGCCCCGACAAAAATCAGGACATCGGATCTCTGGGGAGTTGGGCGGCGATAGTTGGGGGGGGGGGCGAAAAATGGGAGAGCCCCTAAAGGGGCCCTTTGGGGTTGGAAAGTCAGGGGTTCGCTGGGGACTGGTCTCCCCCTCAAACAACGAAAACCGTTCGCAAACCCACTCGAAATCCTTCGAACAGCCTTCCAGAACTCTTCTCGGAGGGTTTTCGGGGGGGGTCGGGAGGGTTTCGGCTGTCTTGGAAGGAAGCCAGTCCTTAGCGAACCGTGGACTTTCTAGTTTTTTAGGGCCCAGAAGGGGGCCTGTGGGCCCGAACAGGGCACCGTTCCCTCCCCCCACGAAGAAATTACGGCGGCGGCATAGGATAAGGAGCGTCTTCCTGGGGCCCAGACGCGAGGTGGGTGGCCCACGTTTGGCCGCCCATCGGTCGCGAGACCCCAGACCCCCGACGCCATGATTTTTTCATGACGTCGACCCCCTGAGGTCTGGACCCATTCCCTGGGACCGGTTTCTCATCCCGAGTCGTTGTTTGACGGTCCAGAGGCCCGGCGAGGGCCTCCAGAGGTCGAAGTTAGAGAAATACCTTCCGTCATGATCTTGTTATGTCTCGAGGGGGTTTGAGACCCTGGGTTCATTCTCGAAGGCATCCTTATCTAAAACCTCCACCGTATCGCCCCCACCTTTGCTCGCGCCTTGGCGGCGGGGTGGGCCCCCGCGTGCGGCCAACGGGTCCGCCGCGTCTGCGGGTGGCAGACCAGGAGGGAGGGGGGGAGGGAGGGGGGGAGGGGAAGGAGGGAGAGAGGGAGGGAGGGAGGGATCAGGAGGAGGAGGGGGAGGAGGAGGAGGAGGAGGAGGGAGGAGGAGGAGGAGGAGGAGGGGGGGGAGGAGGAGGAGGAGGAGGAGGAGGAGGAGGAGGAGGGGAGGAGGAGGGGAGGAGGAGGAGGAGGAGGAGGAGGAGGAGGAGGAGGAGGAGGAGGAGGCGGAGGAGGAGGAGGAGGAGGGGAGGAGGAGGAGGAGGAGGAGGAGGAGGAGGAGAGGAGGAGGAGGAGGAGGAGGAGGAGGAGGAGGAGGAGGAGGAGGGGAGGAGGAGGAGGAGGAGGGGAGGAGGGGGGGAGGAGGGGAGGAGGAGGAGGAGGAGGAGGAGGAGGAGGAGGAGGAGGAGGAGGGGGAGGAGGAGGAGGAGGGGGAGGAGGAGGAGGAGGAGGAGGAGGAGGAGGAGGAGGAGGAGGGGGAGGAGGAGGAGGTTCTGGCCTTCCCGCCCCCCTCCGCAGGCGCGCCGAGCTGAACACGGCCCGCCTCGCTGCGGTGGCCGAGGCGGCGCGCTCGCTGCTGGCGCGGCACGGGTCGCAGCGCCCCGCGAGGTCGCAGGCTGCCCAAAACTATGTGAACGATCAATGGCATAAACGGAACCATAAACAACAGCAACAACAACACCACTAACAACAACAACAACAACAACAACAACAACAACAACAACAACAACAACAACAATTACTAGCACGTGGGGACACTCCGTTCTCACCAGTGCCAGGGTTTTCATAGGAGGCGGGCAATACCCCCACTTTGTGGGGGGGCCGGTTCAAGCTCTACCAAATTTCCAAACGACTCTTCGCCACCACCCACACCCAGCTTCCCGCCCTATGACGTTCGGACACTTCACTTCGTGGCATGCGGACGACCGTGGCTACTATTCAGGGCCCCGCGGCCGACGACGACGGCGTGCGCGCGCGAAGAAAAAACGAATGTGTCCCGCATGGTATTATTTGACAGGGATGATGGCCCTGGCAGGTGCGCAACCGTTGTCGCAGAAGTTCGAAAAAGTTGCTCGCAAAAGCCCGTTTGACAGAAATGTTTAAAAAGTGTTGGGTTTCCTACGAATCCGCAAGAGCGCGCGGGATGAGATTTTGACAATTTTTTGTTGAAAAACCATTGGTTTTTTGATGTTTTTATGTTAAAATCGCTGCGAACACTAAGGTTTTGGAAGGATTTCGTCTTGCGCGCGCGAATGTCCACTTTACCTTATTTTTTGCAAGGGATTCTTGAAATTTGATTATATTAGAACAAGAAATGTCATTTTCTATTGTTTTTTGCAAGGGAAAGCGGATTACAACAAAACAACCGGATCCTGTACACACCCTCTTTTCTGAGGCTTCCTCACGAAAATGATGAAAATGTAGCTGCGGCCTAGGCGGCGCAGGGGGGGCGCGCACCAGGGGGCCCAACAATAATTATTCTTTAGAATAAATAATGTTCAACAACAACAACACCAACAACAACAACAACAACACCAACAACAAACAACAACAACAACAACAACAACACAAACAACAACAACACCAACAACAACAACAACAACAACAACAACACTTGCATTTGCACCAACCCCAAACAGCACACGAATTGAAAACATCGGCAGGAGTAGAAACTTGCATTGGGACCATTAGTCAGGTTAATTGCGTGAGATCCATAGTGAGATCGATAGTACTATCGATCGTGGAGTCGATGGGGAGATCGATTGATCGAGATGGATCGTGAGATCAATCATGAGATCGATGGTGACCGCGGGATCCCGAAATCGGCCCAGAACCAGCAACCCGGAACCCGGGAACCCGGGGATTTTGAACTGGGAACCCGGGAACCCAGCCGGTCACCCCAATTGGCCCGGGTTTTTGGCCAAGTTTTTCAACATCCGCTAGGACCCCTGCAGTGCAAGCTCTGGTTGGGGAATAAAAGAGGGTGCGAGAGAGGGCGCAGGAGAGAGAGAGAGAGAGAGATTGCGACAAGAATCCGAGGCGGAGGTTGGGAAGGAGGAGTGATCGTGAGGAGAGGGATGGAGGATGTTGCGTGCACGACGCGCTCCATTTTTGTTGTTGCCTTGCCTTAGTCCGTCCGGGCGTTTGACGCTCCCTTCTTGTCCGCAGACAATCAGGAGCGAAAGAAGGACGTACATGTACATGAATCCACGCTGGTTTTGAGAGTACGCATTGCGCAAATGGTCGTATAACGCGGCCGGTCTCGCGGATCGAGGGGCCGTGTTCATGTACATAGCTGGGCGCGTACGTCCTTTATGGGCTCCCTAGACAAGTGCTCGCAGCTTCCATCCCGATGTCCTACCTCATGTCTCTGATGCCTCCATCCATCCCGAAAAGATTGGAACCAGCGCTGATCCTCATTTGTACTTTATTTTCCTTCCCCGGAATTTCTGCCTCCCTCTCTCCACAAGAAGCCGCCTCGTCTCCCAAGATCCTGCGCCTCCCAGATGGGGTCGGAGCAGATGGGCTCGGAGCATCGCTCCGCACCGCCGATGCACCCCCAGATTTTTCTCCACGTCGACGGCGCCAACGCATCGCCGGCGTCGACGATGCAGCGGCGATGCGTCGCGATCCGCCGACCCCGTGCATACTCTAAAACGACGCGAAGATCGGGACAAAATCGGATCGGGATAACTCGAAATCTCTGAGAATCGGCGGGTTTGGAGGATGTATTGGGCGCCGCGGCCGCTCCATAGCGTTCCGGAACGCTCTGAGAGCGCTCCGGAACGCTCTGGAGCGATGTATCCCGATCCCAGCCCTGTTTTATACTCGGACCTCATTGGAGAGGCCGCTGAAGGTCGGAACCGGCGCGGGTCCGAATCGCTGTCTCCCGCGCCGCTCCCCCGCCTCTGCGAGGTGCGGCGCGGCCGACGCTGGCAGCCGCGAGTGGCTCGCCGAGGCGGGCTGGGCGGGAGCCAGGGAGGGGAAGGAGCGGACCTGGCAGCTCGAACGAGGTGCATCCGCACGAGCTGGCTCGTCAGCGCGACCCGCCTCCTCCCCCTGGATGGAAGTAGCGCTGATCCAATCACTTGGCAATGACAGGATGATCAAATATCAACGTTGATACTTATGCTATTTTCCCATGCGGCACGGCTGGAGTGTATACGTTTGAACGCCGTCTGCTGCTAGCGACTCCGTGCAATGCAGCCGCATTGGGCTTTGACCCGAATGGCAACGGACAGTCGAAGGTCGACAGTGCAAGCAAGACCAAGAACACACTAACTTTACAGCGCCATAAGCGGGACATTTCAACCGCAACGCTTGGGGACCATTGTAAACCCCGTGATGGCAGAGCTGAAACGGACACCCAGGGGACCGACAGCTGCTTTCAAGTATCGTCGATGTCAGAAGTAGGCAAGTGGGAACGATAACGAGAGCAACTGTGAGGCTAGAGTTCTCTCCCGGCAAGCCTCGGCCCCACGCCCCGCAAAAACTAAACCCAACCCTCAGTCAGCATGGGGAGGAAGACAGACGCTCATGACAGCAAGGATCATGGACCCACGAGTTCGGCAAGCCTGCCCAATGTGATCGCCGCGAAAATCACTTTGGGATTCGACTGGGTCCTGCCAGCATGCACCTCTCCAAAGCGAAGATATACATCCGCCAACGCGTCCACAAGTTGTTTTGCAGGCCAGGCCTCAGGCTTCCGTTGGGAGAGAAGCCATAGATGCGCACACACGCATGCTCCCATACTCGATTCCCTGCCGCCCACGGCGGCCAGCAGTGCTCCCAAGCAAATCTGCAGCGGCAGCTCGAACATGTCTAGTTGCATCTGCTCGTTCAGCAGCAGGTGTGAACACGTAGACGCGACGACGTCCAAACTACACCACATGACTTCCTTGAGGTTTGGGTCAAGAGGGGCATCTCGCCAAAGCAACCGTAGATGGTGAATGCTGTACCCATGCCGAATGTATAACAACATGTCCGTCACACACAATAGGATCAAATTCAATTTGTTTTCTCTGACAAATTCCCATCTTCGCACGCGCCCTAATAACTCAGATCTGTGTTTCAAGACCGTATGCTTGTCAAATCTGCCCGTAAAAGGTGCAACAGAATTCTTCTGCATCTTTGAAATGTCACCACTGAAAGCGTAATCAAGATTTTTGTGCAGGTGCGAGAACAATACGTCTTCCCATGTGAGGTATACGTCGAAATCCAAGAACGACTGGATGGTACAATCGCCGGCCGTGCGAGCTGGTGAATCTGGAGGTTTAAACGAGATCGCACTTCCATAGACTCGCGGTATCTCAGCAACCACGCACACGCGACACAACCGTTTTGAACCAATGATAATGTCATCCGCATACCGGCCAGCAGCGAGCGATGAACACCTTGCCGGATGCTCTTGATCGTATTTGTACTCACGGTGCATGCATACGGCATCGAGCATCGCGCTGCTGAGCGGCCCTCCAATGGCAGCTCCACAGATCTGCCGCCAAATTGTGTCCCCAACCCTGTAGAGGCGCAGCTGGAGGTACAGGCGAACGACCCGCTCCAAAGTGCCCAAGAAGATGACGTCCCGGTCCCTGTATTTCTCGTTGGGGTTCCCGCCACAGACAATGACATAAGGCTTGCTTTTCGAGATGCTAAGGGCGCCAGTGGCTACGTGCTGACGTGCTTGGGCAAAGACGAACGCCAGCGCATCCTCGACGGCATCTGATGAAAGCGCCTCGAACGCCTGGGGCGCATCAGCAACCACTAAGGTGGGCGCGGGCATTCGCGAGCAGCACCGGACACACGAATGCACATGCGCATGCGCCCCCCCAGACGTGGCGAGCCGAAGAAGGGACTGGTGTAACTCAGCTGGCGCGCAATCGAGGTTCGAGAACGCCCAGCCTCCGTCAAAGACGAGTCGCACAAGATACGCAAACACTTTCCCGAACTTGCGCCACGTACCCTTCGAAGCGATACGTGCAAACGAACAAATGTTCCGCATGCACGAATGTCCTCTCTCCCGGCACGTGTGCGCAGGGTGCCCCAACGCTCCGTTCAAAAATAAGCTCGGCAATGATGTCCAACACTTCCTTTTGACAGTGGCGTACATGTACGGTAAGGTCCTGCATGAGACTGGGCTTGATTTAGGCCTGAAGCAACTGGGCAGCACCTGGTCATTCCCATCTTTGAACACCTTGACCGCCTCCGCCAAAGTAACAGCATTGAACGACCATGAATGGCTAGCAGTGCCCAGCTGGGCAAACCAGCGCGCCCGCATGCAAAGCGGCGACGCCAGCCACAACGTGTATGGGTCCTTGTCCTCACACGTGACAAGAACATGCCGTCGGAGAAGCTGCAACAGCGTGAACAATCGTTGGGCCTGGCATTGCAGCGCGGTCTTGTGTGCAGGGCGAGGCTTGCCCATCAAAGCACCATTTAAAATTGCATCGGCGCTGCCACGTGGAAGAAACTGGCGACTGAAGAACTTCGCTTCCGAGGTGAACGCTGCAAGCTGATCGCAATATGGTAAAACAGTTGGCCAACGACCATTCGCAGGGATCCTGACAAGATCGGCGCCCGCCGCTGCGCACTCCAAGATGTGCCGATCGAGGGCCTCGAAATCAGCAATGCGGAAACTGTCAGACCACATCGACGTATTCATTGCAGCTCTTCGTAGGCAAGGGCTGGGCACCGTGACGACCCTCGTCATGCGCAACATGAGTATTGCAAAGTGTGGTAGGTCGTGTTGAATGCTGTTTGCAATCAGCCGGATGGTCCGAGTCGCGCACGCGTGCCACATAGCGTCAGGGATTCGTAAAGACCTCATCCGTGGAATCGGCAAGCCATGCAATCCCAACCATTCCGGTATCGATGATCTGATTTTGACCCTGTCAAAAGAATGCGGCATGACAGACACAGCCGCCCACAACACGTACATGAAGTCGAATGGGTTACAAGTGCCTGCACACGCCCTCTCCCAGACGATCTTGCCTTTGAGCGTGGATGCAAATTTAAACAGAAGAGGAACAAATGCGGAATCGTATAAATCCACTGGCCCATAGTATGGAGCCATCGTAGCAACAGCTTGGTAATATAATGCTTTAAAGGGCTTTCGTAATATATTGCGTGCTTCCATAAGTTGCCTCTGAATCCGAAGCTCATGAACAGCCCGTTGCGTAGCCGAATTCACCATGATTTGTTGGAACCCGAGCTCACGAACAGCAACGCGGCAAAGTATGTTGTGCCTTCCCCGGCGATCTTTCCGTCCAGACCTCTGGCGAGATCGCTGGCACAACGTTCGGCACCGGGTGGGCCGACCAAGGATGCCTCCGGGTTCAAGGGATCTGGCGTTGTTCGCATGAGGCCGGACGTGATAGATGTACGCCGCCTCGACGGCGGACGCGTCCGAACACGGGACCAACCTGAAGAACATGAACGAAACATCAGAACCATTACCTTGACGTAGTACTTTGTATCTCAAGGTGTCCCAATCTTGTTTTGACGACAGCGCTTGGGAAGGGTACAGCAACGCAATCATGTGCTCACGGAAACGGCATGCTCCGCCCGGAAGCGTATTGGATGGTCTCTGCATCTGTCCTCTGCCAACGTAAAGAGATTTGAAGCCAATTTGGTACAGGTGTTGCAACTCAGGGTCCCTGACGAATGACCCTTTGAGCTGGATAGCCATGAGGTGCCACAGATCGAGCGTCTGAATGAACGTGGCTGCTCCAGCACGGCTCAATGCTTGGACGTGTGCAGTCTCAAGACAACGAGAAGCATGGGAAACGGTAGCAATCTGTCGACGACCACCTAACCAAGCGAATCGATGTCGAAGCAAAGTCAAGCATGACGTGGTAAATACCAGCACGCTCCAGACACTACGCGGGAAGCCTGGCTTGCGGAACGTGCTAAGCACGTCAGCCTGCCAGTCCTGCAAGTGTTTGAGCAAGAGCTGCGGCGGAGCCTCACTCAACAAGGACATCATCACGCAATACACGAGCTCCTTCACGGCTGGCTTCCATAACGCAGGTAGAGCAACCTCAATATCTGAAGGTACCAAATTCTGGACATCTGACGTGCGATAAGCTGGCAGACTTCCCTGCAATGCACCAATCAAGTGTTGTTCACGCTCTTGCTCCAAATATCGAACTCCACGGCTTGGCATCTGGTATTACCAAGATGGGTACCTCAATGAACTAATGCGTACGATAATGAATCAATATGGAGATGAATGGATATGTATGGATATGGATGGATATGCATGCAGCGCCTGCGGTACACTCGAAAGCTCCGACCCGGCGCCAATCCCCCTGGATGGAAGTAGCGCTGATCCAATCACTTGGCAATGACAGGATGATCAAATATCAACGTTGATACTTATGCTATTTTCCCATGCGGCACGGCTGGAGTGTATACGTTTGAACGCCGTCTGCTGCTAGCGACTCCGTGCAATGCAGCCGCATTGGGCTTTGACCCGAATGGCAACGGACAGTCGAAGGTCGACAGTGCAAGCAAGACCAAGAACACACTAACTTTACAGCGCCATAAGCGGGACATTTCAACCGCAACGCTTGGGGACCATTGTAAACCCCGTGATGGCAGAGCTGAAACGGACACCCAGGGGACCGACAGCTGCTTTCAAGTATCGTCGATGTCAGAAGTAGGCAAGTGGGAACGATAACGAGAGCAACTGTGAGGCTAGAGTTCTCTCCCGGCAAGCCTCGGCCTCGACCCGCCTCCTCCCCCATCCTCCTCCTCCTCCTCCTCCTCCTCCTCCTCCTCCTCCTGCTCCTCCTCCTCCACGACCACGACCACGACGACCACGACGACCACGACCACGACGACGACGGCGACCACGACGACGACCACCACGACGACGACGATGAAGACGACGACGATGGCGGCGGCGGCGGCCAACGGCGAATACAAATGAGAAAAGAGAGTGACCCCCGACGTATTGTTTTTTTCATGACGTCGACACCCTGAGGTCTAGACCCACTCCCAAGGACCAGTTTCTCATCCCGAGTCGTGTTTTGACGGTCCAGGGCCCGGCAAAGGCCCGCAGATGCCGAAAATAGCGAACAATTTCCCGT